TGTTACTGAATAAAGCTATGACGTGTTAACAACAAAAAAGAAAACTGGTTTGACTTGACCTATTTTAAATGAACAAGAAGAGAGACTAAGGCCATGTAAAAACAATGTTCACGGAGATTCCTGTAAGATTTATCGTTAGACCACCACAGCTCATGTAATTAAGATAAATCACATATATTAGCCCATTGTATTACATTCCTTATGGCAAAATAACACCTGGTTTCAAAACCTCCTTTCAAATAGCTCAAAATCATTAAAACAATTTTTAAGGTCAACAATATTAAGAAGACGTACAAAAGCTGGGTGGAAGGAACAATAAGATGGTCTGATTCCTCCATGTAGATATTAACCTCTCCTAAGATACTTCTGACCGGTCTACATAAATTGCTGATGCCAAGGGAAATTACTTACACCAAAATTACATTTAAAATTTTAAAAGTAAAAGAAATGCAAAACATCATGTTGAGGTCCTTTGTCTTTTCTCTCTGTTTGTTTAAATGTTTAGAGTATAGTGCTAATAAAGTCAAGGTGAAATGTCAATCTTGCTTTGAAAAACCAATTATCTTGGCTAAAGAAACATCATTTCATAGTTAAACTGCAGCAGTTATCCCTGTGTTGGGGCCACAGAAGATGCAACAAAGTGGGCAAATCCAATGGCACTAATGAAAAAAAAAACCCAAAACAAATGAACCCTGTGCCCACAAATGTCTATTAACATTGGATCAGCAACTGAAAATAGGAATAACAGAAGCAGCAAACACTTACATAGCATTTATACAATCCTAGTTGGTGACCACACATCCTATTTGTTTCTTTTCACTCTGAAAAGTGTCCTGGTTTACACAATAAATTAAATGGTCACTCAACTTCAAAGTGCTTTACACATATTACCCTGTTTCCTCCTTGAAACAACTCTACAAAGTGTGCACTATTATCTTCCTTTCACAGATGAGTTCTCTCACCTCTGCATTCACAGAAAAATATACACAATTACATTATTAGAAAGTCACAGTGCAGCTCCATTATGCTGTCATATTGTTCGTAGGCATATTAAAAATCATTATTTCAAATTGCAACAATTATATATTCATGCATTACACTTTTCTAAGTTAAAAAAAAAAAAAAGCTACCGTCAAAACCAGCAAGCTCTATTAAATGGAAGGTAGAGCCACATTCCACCACAAACCGTTTCTCTATTTCTCATCTGTCGCTCTGGCATATCAAGATATCTACTTAATGTTCTCTGCATGGCAAGAAGTGCTTCTGAAATGATTTCTATCAGGGTACTAACAATATTTAGCATCCTTTAAATTAACAGATACAAAATACAAACAGTTAACATAGTTTAAATTAACAGTGACAACATCCAAACTGTTCTTCAGTTAGCCAAAATGCTAGAGTTGGCAACAAGGGGAGAAAATGGATTTGTCACAAACTAGCCGTGTGACTGTAAGTCATTAACTTCCAAAGACCTCCACTTTTTCACTTATAACATGACAGTAGTGGTGAAAATATCCAGTCTAGTAGCTATAGCTACTCTAAAGCAGGACAGTTCCTCAAACCAAGAGCAGGAAAAAAGGGCTGCTTCTTCAAGAGCTCCCAGTCCAATTGGATATGCAGACGCAGAGGAATGGATTATATGAAGGCACAGTGATACAGGTACCTCAAATTTGTAACAGACATTGGCTCTCACGTAAGCTCCATGAACAGTTACTGGTACTCCTCCAAGAGCTTTCCAGGAGGATGAATGAGATATCAAGAGCATCCACTTCTATCTTCCACGCTAACCTCGCTCTAATCCAAGCCCCTATTTCTCTCATCTGGAATACTTTGTATTGGGCTCCCTGTTTTCATTCTTGCCTTTCTAGAATCCATTTTCTATGCAACTCAGATGATCTAAAAGATGAATTGGATCACTAACTCTCCTGCTTAAAATCCTCCAATCATTTCTAAATGCCCACACAGGACAATTCAGTCTCCTTTCCAAATCCTGCAAGGCTCCTCCTGAGCTCCCTTTTACCTCCTTTTGCATCATACTCCTCTTGGCCCACCTGGATGCAGTCCTGTCCCTAGATCCAGCCCACTGGCTTTCCTTATTTCCTCCAAAGGGTGCAGAACTTGTTTTCACCTCAGGCCTTTGCACTAGTTGTTGTCTCTATCTGGAATACTTTCCTGGGCTCTTCATGTGGTTGAACCTGTCAGGTCTCACTGCCCTCCCCCATTACTCTCTGTCCTCATTCCACCAAGTTCATTCTCAGAACTTAATTACATTCCTTTTCAGAAATTATCTTATTTACTTATTTGATTGCACACTACGGCTTCTTTCCCCAAAGCAGGGGCCAGGGCCCGCCTGTCTAGTTTACTACAAAGTAGCCAGGACTTTGCATTGTGCCTACAAGGTATGCAATAAATACTTGCTGACTGATCACACATACCACTCATTTCAGCTTGATTTTTTCAAAAGCTGAGCTGATAAAAACCATGTTTATAGAGGATTGTCTGAAGAAGTTGTAGTTTGTCTTTCCCTTATGGTCTAGATATTCAATCAAAAAACCTTGCTTTGAATCAAGCCAGATTAGCAGAGCTACCCACTACCCACCTAAACCAAATTGTCCATTGGTTTTATTTAGACAGGGTTTAGTGCTGTTGACAGGCTGGAGTGCAGTGGTGCAATCACGGCTGGTTGCAATCTCAAACTCCTGGGCTCAAGTGACCCTCCCGCCTCAGCCTCCTGAGTAGCTGAGACTACCTACAGGTGTGTGCCACTCCACCTGGATAATTTTTAAAAATTTTTAGTAGAGACGAGTAGCTGAGACACAGGTGCACACCACCACACACGCCTGGCTAATTTGAAAAATTTTTTAGTAGAGATGAGGTCTCGCTGTGTTGCTTAGGCTGGTTGCAAACTCCTGGGCTCAAGTGATCCTCCTGCCTTAGCCTCCCAAAGTGCTAAGATTGATTACAGGTGTGAGCTACCACACCCAGCCTCTATTGGCTTTAGAATCTTTCTAAATTGTGATTTAACCTTCTTTTACCTAGCAAGGGATGTGCTACAAAACAGCTCTGTGATCTTCAGTGCTGAAAAGAGGTTAAGGATATGACACTGGCTTTCATTTATAAGGACCTCAATGACAAACTTTTCCTCTAGTTCAAATCAGAAAAAAAAAAGTGCTTTTCCTGGGCATCTAAGATTGCCTTCTTTCATGAACACTAGACCACAGAGTAGATGAGGTACTGTCTCTCGGCATGGCCTATTAGAGAAACAGGTCACTTACAGCTTGGTTAATTAATGTACTAGACTTTATCCTTCTGCATTTTGAGGATCACCCCACTTCTGACTTCCCTTTATTTTTCCTAATTTCAGTGTTCTTTTTGTCTTGTTTTCTAATCCATTTAATTTGTACATTTCTCATTACGGTGAACTGCCTTAAATCTTTTCTAGCATAAGGCATATAAATAAAGTATTAAGGGTGACAGCAGCAATATGCATAAAATAACATGGCTAATAGGCAGAGGGTCAACTACTTCCAGGAAAGAGGGGATTTTTGAGTTGGGTCTTGAGGAAAAAGTGGAGTGTCACCTGATAGAAAAGGCAGGAAAAGGCAACCTGTGCAGATTAAGAGAGAAGGCACAGTCCACATCAAAGGAAAGTGGAAGACAGATTAGTAAAACTACTCTGACATTTAATAATATTTACTGAACATTAATTATTATGTGTTGGACTCAATGCAAAGCCCTTTACAACTTTTTGTGTTTAATCCTCAAAACAATCCGCTGACACAGATTTTATTATTATCTCCATTCAGAGACCGAAGCTGAGACAGTCTGTAAGTGGCAGGGTAGAGATTCCTGTGGACTCTAAGGATGTGGTGGGGCACTCTACTGCAGTCAGTACTTCAGAACTCATCTTCTGTCCCTATCTCCCATCTGACAAAGCCTATCGCTCCTTTGGACATCTCTATCTCAATAAATAGAAAAGTAGTGCTAACAGGCACACAGTGAAGTCAAAAACCTGGGATCATCCTAAACCCCTTCTCCCCGCATTCATTCAATACCCGAAGTTCTGACATTCTGCCTCACAAATTTCCCTCCCACCTGTCCTCTTCTCTGCATTCCCTCTTGGTCACAGTCCTCATTGTCTCTCACCAGGGCCACTGCAGAAATAGGAGACACAGGAGGCATAATAGTGAAGAGCGGGAACTCCACAGGTGGTCTCCCTGCCTTTGACCCTCTATGACTTACTATCTGTGCGACCTTGGGCAAGCTAACCTGTGTCTGTTTCATCTGTAAAATGGGGACAACAATTAGAATATTACCTGACAGCACCATGTAAACGTTAGTAAGTGGTAAGGAAACTTAGCTCCTCACTTTCTCTTCCTCTAATCATTCTGCACATAACAGAGACAGTGTGTATGCGGTTTTTTTTGTTTTTTGAGACAGGGTCTCACTCTGTCACCCAGACTGGAGTGCACTGATGCGATCGTGGTTCACTTCAGCCTCGACCTCCCAGGCTCAAGTGATTCTCTCTTGTCAGCCTCCCAAGTTCTGGGACCACAGGTGTGTGCCACTGTGCCAGACCAATTTTTTTGTATTTGTAGACATGGGGTCTCATTATGTTGCCCAGGCTGGTCTTGAACTTCTGAGCTCAAGAGGTCCACCTGCCTTGGCCTCCCAAAGCGCTGGGATTACAGGCGTGAGCCACTGTGCCCGGCCATGTGTGTGTGTTAATGCCAATCTGATTAGCACAACACCAATGTTAAAACTTTTAATGGCTTCCCATTGCCCTTAGAAATCTCTGGCTCATAACTTTCTAAATTCTAGCAATAACTGTCAACTTTGAGTTCTTCCAACATCTTGGGGCCTTTGTACAAGTGGCTACCAACCCAGAACACCAGTCCAACATCTATTTATTCTTCAAAAATGGGATTATCTTTTTTGGGGAAGCTTTCTCATTTCCATTGATTGGATAATCTTTGTTACATGTTCCTACAGTTACCAACCTTGTACTTCCTTGTGGTAATATTTGTCACTCTTAAAACTCATTAGTCAATGTTTCTTTCCCTTCCGACCGAAATTTTGGAGAGGGAAAAGTTCTTGCTTGTTGGTTCTGGGTTGTAATCCCAAAGCCTAGTCCAGGAAGGATAAATGTCCACTAAATAAATGAAACTGGAATGAAGCAAAGCTGAAATTCTACATGAAGTTCCTGGGTCTTTAGTAGTCTTCCACCTCCACTACTCTTTACCAGTCTGCAAATTTGGGCCTATCACTGTTCTTCCCATGGCCAGGCCCTTTAATGTGGAGACCCTGGTGGTCTTCAACTCTTCAGAAGTGGCCTCTCCACAGGCATTTAGTTACTGGTCACCCTCTCCTGAAAAACACCCAAAAGCCCTAGATCTCCCCTTCCCAGATATCAAAGGACCTCCTTCCTCCCTAATCAGATAACTTGTAGGTTCTCCCTCCAGTTGCCGATCATGCCCCTTCCCCTTTCCCCTAAGTGTCACCTTATTTCTGCTCTCACTCCATTGACCATCTCCCTTAGACAGTCCACAAACCCAGTCTTTGCCCCTCTAAATCCATTCCAGCTGACAAATCACCCTCCCCAACAAACACATATACATCTTCTATCCTCCTGACCTACCCTAGATGGTTTCTCATCACTATACTGGCTCCTCCTTACCCCCCGTAAATCTCCCAGGTACACTTCCCCATTACCCTCCGGATACCTCATCCCTCTGTATTCCTTTTATAAATAATTCCCTGCTCCCTCTCCTCACCCACAATCCACTCGCAGTTCAAGGCCTCATTGCCATCGACTCCATTGTCTGTGAGTCCTTCCCAATATGCCCCAGGACCCCTCCAGGTGTCACGCTCCGTATCCTGACATCCCTTGTAGACGAGTCCCGAAACTCCCGTTCCATCCCTGGAGCTCCCACTCCCTCCTAGTCCTCCAGAAACCTTCCAGGCCCCCAGCCCCAAGCCCGGCACCACCGCCCACCATTCGCGGCTCCTGGGCCCTCACCGCGCCCCTAGACAAACCCGGACTCCCTCCGGTCCCACCCGCCCTTGCACCGCTTCTAGCCGTCTCGGCCACCCACGTGTGTTCCCAGCCCACCGACCACGCTCCCGGCACACCCTACAGCCCCGCGCTGCCTTCGGGAGAGCGGGCGGGGGAGGCCGAGGGGCTCCGAGGGGCGCTCGGCCTCTGGCGAGAGGAAGGACTCAGGGAAGCAGCCGGGGAGGCCCGGGGCTTCGGGGAGGGGTCTGGAAGGCCGAAGCGCTCGGGCGAAGCGGCCGGGGCAGGCCGAGGGGTTCCCGGAAGCGGGCTGGGAGGCCAGGGGTCTCCGGGGAGGCCGAACAGGCTGTGCAGCCGGCGCGGGTGGCGGTGAGCGGGGCCTCACCGTCAGTCACGGCTCCCATGGCGTGCGCGGCGGCGGCGGCGGCGCAAGCTGAGGCGGCGGTTGGCGGCGGCGGAGGTCAAACTCCCACAATGCAGCCGGGTAAACAGCCATGGAGGAGGAGGCGGCGGCGCCCGCGGCCGCCTGCTCCGACGCCTGAGCCGCGCCGCGCCGCCGCCGCGGGACCCCCGCTCCCCACGCTCCCGGTACTCCCCGGGGGCGGCCGCGGCCGGCGCGAGTTGGGGTGAGGCTAGGCGGCCGGCGGCGGCCCCGGCTGCAGGCCGGGCTCCCGCCGCCCCCCTTGCAGCCCCCGCCCGGCCCACGCCCAGAGGCCGCCCCGGAGGCCGCAGCCAGCCGCCAGGTGAGCTCGCCCGGACGCCGCCAGGGCTGCGGGGACGCGGCGGGGGCTGCGGGCCGCCCGGAGTCGGGGCCCCAGCTCCTTCTCCGGGAAGGTGACTGCGGCCCCGCCGCCCCATCCAGGGTGACGCTGCTAGGGGTGGGCTCGCTTCCCTGGGGGATGGGGAGGGTGACGGGGACGCCAGGATCCGGCTGAGCCCGGGAGAGGCGGGACTAGGGGTACAGAGGGGGCGCGTCGCTGGGGGTCCCCTCGAAGTTGGCGCCCACTCGCGCTGGGGCGGGTCTCGAACGCCGGCACTTGCGCGGGGCGCGGCCGGCAATCAGAAAAGGCCCCGGGTTCCAGGTCGCGCGGTTCCGGCCCCTGCGGCCGCCCCCTTCCTTCCTGGGCTCGGCGGGTGCGGGAAAAAGGGTGAAAGAGAAACTTGGCGACCTCCCGGAGGAGTTCGCGGAGCGACCAGGAGCGTGTGCCCATCGTCCTCACCCGGCACCCAATTCCACCACAGAGTCGGGATCTCGTCGGTGATCATGATGGGGTGCTTTTATTTATTTTTCTCTTTGATTTTCAGAAAATGTTTCTGTGACTGTCCCTATCTTAAGGGGAAGTTGAAAGTGGGGGCGGGGGTGCTCAATGAGAAACGTTGCCTTGTGTGTAGTTGTCTGGAGCACACTGCAAATTATATGGGCATCTCTTTTCGAAATCACTTTGACTCAACTTCGATAGCTTTCTCGTAAATGGCACGTTTAGGTGGTGAGAGGTGGATGAGGAAACAGGCACCAATACAGCTGATTTGACCTCCAGTGGGATAGATACGATTAGCACCAGGATCATGTCTCAGTTGACACAGGTTTGTTATTTTATTCAGTCATATCGTTGTTTTCCAATTTTCCTGTCCACTAAGTAGATCTTGCATCTTCATATCCAGGATGAAGAAGTTGTGTGGGATAAATTTGGTTGTTTCAGTTTCCTTACTAACTTTAGGTACATTATCCCTGTTTTCCCCCCAGTTCTTTCAAAGAGGAGAAGCTGCAGATGCAAATGTATTAAAGTGAAGTGTGTTTAACCTCTAGCAAGAAATATGTACAATTTTAGTCATATTATATGAGACCAGTGACTTCAATAATACCATTACAGTGCTCTCAAGAATTAGCGCTCAAGAATTTAACTTTTGTCACAAAGACAAAAATTACTTTATGTGAAGATTCTGAGATGTAACTTGCCCTCCCCTAGGGTGTGAAGTTTCCCTGACTTTGAAAAAATACTGACCTAAACGCTGGCTGTAGGTGCGCATCAGAGCCTGTTCATCTCCTTTGTTAGGAGACAGGGCACTCTAAGTGAAGAACTGTTTTAAAAAAATCTTAAGTACTACAAATTGTAAACTGAAATTGTCAGTTGATTGGGGTTCACAATACCAAGTTGCATTTTGGTGGGGATAGTTATTTAGAAAGTAATCGTCATGTGGTGAAATGTTCTTTTTTAAGTGTTTCTTAATCTTATAATACTGATTTTTGAAACATTTCTTATATACTGATTTTAAATAGTATCTAGCTATTTAAAATAATCTTTAATATTTTCATGGGAAAGTATCACTGTCCCCTGTAACTTAAATTTTCGTGAGATATTCTGTCAGATATTCATAGATGGAGTGCTGTTCAAACATTTTTATAAGTTCATTTGATAACTTATAATTTTGTTGGATGATGCTAGAAATTTTCTAGAGTAATAAGACGAAGAGGAATTTGAAAGACTTTAAAGTTTGAGCTGTACCTGAAAATAAACATTCCTGAAAGTTATTTTATTTTATTTTTTTTGAGACAAGCTTCCTGTGTTGCCTAGGTTGGAGTGCAGTGGCACGGTCATCAGGGCTCACTGCGGCCTGGAACTCCCGGGCTCAAGCGATCCTCCCACCTCAGCTACCAACTAGTTGGGACTACAGGCATGTTCCATGATGCCTGGCTGTTTTTCATTTTTATTTTTGTAGAGACATGATCTCACTATGTTGCCCAGGCTGGTCTGGAACTCCTGGGCTCAAGAGATCCTCCCGCCTCAGCCTCCCAAAGGGCTGGGATTACAGGTTTGAGCCATTGTGTCCAGCCTGAAAGTGCTTGACTCAAGTGGTGAGAAACACATAATTTGAACCTTTATGAACTCTAAAATCTGCTTTGTCAGCTACATGATTTTACTTGCAATTGCATTCACACAGATCTATTCGTTGAACATTTAAGAATTGTCTTTTCATCATATTGTATATCTCGTGTATATGAGAGAACATCTTTTAGTAAACATTAGGAGTGGTCTTCTTTTTACATATTAACCTGTTGATGAATGTTAAAGTAGCAAAGACTCAAGTCCTTACCCTTCTAATGTTTCTTCTTTTCAAGGAAGATCTTTATGGGCAGAAACACAGAAATGGAAGTAGCAGATTTTAAGAAAACTGATTCAGACTTTGAACTTGTATGATCTTATATTTATTGATTTATTCGAGTCATAAGATTTCTGTTTGGTTTTTTTTTTTAGAATATGAAAGACTAGTTAAGAAAAATTTGTGTGTTTATTTGATATTTACTTTCCGAAAATATAAAAAATGATGAGAGAGCTAGCTATATGGTCTTTATTCTGGGCCCGTGAAATAATGTAAGGATTTTTGTAATATGCTTTTAGAACAAGGGTTATCCTGGGGGTCTGTGACCCTCCAAGCGTCGGTTTCAGGGGATTCCTGAACTCCCTGTAGTTGTGACCAAAACTTTTTGTATATGTGTATTTTTCTGGAAGAAGGTCTATAGTTGTTTTAGAAAAGAGATCCAGGAATTAAAAAAAAATTAGAGACACATCTTTTTATTGAATAAAATGGAAGTTAGAAATCTTTTCTTTTTTCTTTTTTCCTTTTTCCTTTGAAACAGGGTCTCACTTTGTTGCCCAGTCTAGAGTGCAATTGCATGAACATGGCTCACTGCATCCTTGACCTCCTGGGCTCAAGTGATCCTCCTGCCACAGCCTCCCAAAGGGCTGGGATTACAACAGGCATGAGCCATCACAGAATGACCATTTTAAAGAGAAAAAAACATTTTTGAAAAGTAGATCTATGTGCTCATTACTTGCCTTTTAGAGTTATCTTCAGGCTGGGCACAGTGCCTTACACCTGAAATCCCAGCACTTTGGGGGACCGAGGCGGGTGGATCATTTGAGGTCAGGAATTCAAGAGCAGCCTGGCCAACATGGTGAAACCCCATCTCTACCAAAAATACAAAAAAAATTATCTGGGCGTGGTGGCATGTGCCTGTAATCACAGCTACTCAGGAGGCTGAGGAAGGAGAATCACTTGAACCCAGGAGGCCGAGGTTTCAGTGAGCTGAGATCACGCCACTACACTCTAGCCTGGGCGACAGAGTAAGACACTGAAATAAATAAATAAATAAATAACGTTGTCTTCAGACTTAGAGGCACTTCCATTTTATTCCCACAGCAAAGCACTGCCTATCAGTTGATAAGCCAACCTGGTCTGACATGCTAGTCCTGCATGCACTGTGGCTGTATTTTTAAAAAATTATATCCAAAAATTCAGACCAGATAGTTCGATGGTAGATAAGCAAAGATTTGATCTTTACACCAGCCCTTGGAGCAAATGGGTCTTTCAGCTCCACTCTCTTCTTTCCAGAAAATGTGAAATTTGACTCAGAGGGAATCATTCTAAGAAAATGTGTTTGTGCCTTGGCAGGACAGTAGAACATGATTGGGAAAACACAGTTTGAGTCAAAATAGACTTAAAATTCAAATTTGGTTTCCTTTATTCACTCTAGCTACTTACCCTGCTTAACTCTTCAGTTACTCATCTGGATATGGCTAACTAGTACAGTTGTCGCAAGGCTGGCTAGAAGTTTCCTGTATAAAAATCTTAGCTCCTCTTTGGCCCACAAGAAGGACTTATAAGCCGGATTTGGGGAACCAGTAATAAACATCTGAGGAAACATGTATATTAATTGTATAGGATAACAAGTATATTATTTCCAAATTGGTGTGATGAAGATATTAACACTTAAAACATTTTTTTTTTAAGAAAAAGATTTTCAAAAATGAGTTAGGATTGAGTCGTCCCCAAATGTAGATATTTAGAGGAAAGTGGAAAATGATGGTTTATTTAGCAGAGTGGAGGACATGGATGCTGCTGGGCAGGAAGAAACAATAGCCACCCACCAGCATTGTATTTCTTTCTGTGGGCAAGATTCCATTTAACATTTTCTCTTCACTTATAATCTGAATTAAAAAATTAAAATACTGCACATGTGCTTTATAGTCCATCACTCCTAAAAGTGCTTCACCACTCCTTTCGTTTTGAGACCTTCACAGGTAACCCAAGGAGTTCGTGGGTGGAAGTTACATTTATCGCTTTAGTTCTTTAGTTGTCTAATTCTGCTGGCATTTAACCCAAGGAGTTCATGGGTAGAAGTTACATTTATCGCTTTAGTTGTCTAATTCTGCCATCTTTAAAATGCCTTCATAGTTGGGTACATGTGTTGATTTTTCTCAATAGGAAAGGGTCTGGCAGTACTGAATCATATTTTACTTTAAATGCTGAAGTAAGAGAGGGCATTATGAGTCAAAAGAA